GGCAAACCACCGGCCGCTGCTGCTTACCTGTGAGGTCGCCCATGCCAGCGGTGATGGCTGCTGCGTAGAGAACCTCCCCACTTTGCCACGGAGCTGTGGAGCTGGCCGCAGGGTGGCAATGGCAGTGTGGTGATGACCGTGGGCACGGCACAGGATGGTGGTGGGGATGGCTGTGTGCTGCCCTGCCACGACCACACTGCCGCTCTGCAGCTGGCTGCACAGCTCCGGGCACAGCTCCGCAGCGGTGCGGGGAGGTTTTGTAGGCAGCGGCCACCACCACTGGCATAGCCCTACAGGTAAGCAGCAGCTGCCGCGCGCGAGCCTCCCCCCCGCCCTCATCACCACTGCAGAGCTGGCTATGGAGATGTGTAGCCGGCTGTATGCCAGCCTCCTCCTCCCCCTCCCCTGGACAGGCAGCCAGGGGCATGTGTGTGGCCTGCATATGGCAGGCACCACCCCACTGTGCCCCACATCACTTGCCCACAAAGCCCCCCGCAGAGGGGCACCCCTGCCCTCAACACCCTGGCCCTGCTTCTGGCTGCAGTGTGCCACCTAAGGCCGGCAGTACCACCTGCTTCCTCAGCCCCCAACCATCTTCCCCAGCCCTGCCCCACAGCCCCCAAGCCCCATTTACCTCTAGGATCCAGAGGTGAAGGATATAGCTCCGCAGTGGCAGCGTGTGCCTGCGAAGACCTCCCAGCTAGCATGCAGCCGCCACCACCCTGCACTGCCACAGAGCCGTGCAGCCGGTCTCAGGGCATAAGCAGCAGTGCAGTGGTGGCCGCTGCTTGCAAACTCCCCTTTCCACCCCCCAGCTGGACGGCACATATGTGGTCCACACACAGTGGTTGCCACTGCACTGCTGCTGCCGCACCCAGTGCCACTTGCCCACAAAGTGGTACAGGTGGCTGTGGGATGGTAGTGCAGAGTGCGGTGGCGGCCTCTGTGTGCGAACCCCATCAGGCCGGCCAGCATGCGTGTGGCCCGCAGAGTGACACCCCTGCCCTTACCCCTTGGCCCTGCTCCTGGGAGTAGGCACAGGGGCACACTCCCCCCACTTTTTGATCTACCTCCCTTGTTCCTTCCCCTGCACACACACTTACCTGCTAGGGTGGGTGTCAGTGTCTACGTACGCCTCTGTGTCTGCATGTCTGTGTCTGTGCATCTGGGGGGCTGTTGTGAGGGGCATCAGGAGGGCTGTTGAGGCTATGGGGGGGGGGGAGTGCGGGGTATCAGCAGTGTTGGTGGGGATTGTAGGAGACCTTTAATTTTTATCACAGATTTGGGGTTTTTAAAACAGAGAATTTGTAATTTTTAAAATCGGAGAAAAACAGGATCCCTGGTTATCAGTCCAATACTGGTTTGCAGCCCTGTCAGGTTTGCAGCCAGTATGAAGCAGCAGGGAGAGGGAGATTGAAAAGCTCAGCATCATCAACAGATGTATGCACTGCACACTTGCCCTTTGCCTCAGAGTGCTAGCCGGGGGCTGGGGGCTGGCAACACTCCCGCCCCTTGAGCAGGGAAAAGTCTGGAATGATGCAGGCCAGGGTGGAGTTTACACCACTCCCTAATCAGTGTCCTGCTGGGGCTTGGCCACACCCCCCCTCAACTCAGCACCATGGACAAGAAGAGAGGGATGCTCTAGCACCCCCGACCTTCTATTTTTAGCCACTGCAGGCATGTGCTTGTATTTCTTCAGTCCAGAGGGAATGTCTTTATAGTTGCGAGCCAGTTCAACCTAGGCAGGTTAAACTAACCTGCAAACATTGAATCAATTCAGGCTCAGACTTTTTGAATGTCTGTCCCTAGACTAGGAGATGGCAGTGTTCCAAACATGATTAAAGGTGAAGGAAGAAAAAAATGCCTTATCAGGGGAATCTTTACCCCCTTTAAAATAAAATAAAATAAAATAAAATAAAATAAAGCACAATGAGCTGTTGATCTTCTCAAGGAGCATAATTAGTAAACATCTCACATACCAATTATTTTTGATAAAATGCAACTGTATATAAAAGCCCTACAAAATCTTTTCTACACAATAGATGTACTATGCACCCTCCTCCACTGCTCACCTGTTTTTAAGATGTGCTGCCAGATCACATCGCTGCATTACTTCCTGACATACTGAAGAAAAGGGGCATAAAACAAATAATTTGTCTAACAGTTTATGAACAAGGATACTGGATTTCTTGCAGAGCTTAAAGTGGAGCCTTTTTCGATCCAATGGACAGAAATCTTTCTCCTGTAAAAAGTTCCTTAGGCACTTGTAACAGAATGTGTGTCCACAAGGGGTGTCCAGTGGCTGCAACAAGGGCTGAAGGCAAATATGGCAGACCAGGTCATCATCCACTTCATTCTGATAGTTGTACAAGTGATTCTCTCTTGTCCAATGCTGTTGGCCGCATTCAAAGCACAGAGGGTTCAAGGAAGAGTTGTGCTCCACTGAAGCCATTTCATCATTTGTGGTACCCATTGTACCAAACAAGGGCAGATTTTGCTAGACTTGTTTGGTAGTCTTTTTTTTCTCTTTCTAAAGACACATGACTTGTATTCTTTCATGAAGTGTCATTTTCTGCAAGTCAAGAAAATTAAAATTATTCAGGCAGTATACATATGAAAACTATGATTAGAACTACTTAAATTGCTCTTGGTTACAAAAAATATATTCAAACGCCATAATCAGATTAGTGGATTTTTTTTTCCAGTTAGAAAATTAATTATAAGAGAATAAAATGGAAAAAAAAATCTGTAATACTGATTTTGTCTTACAAAATAAACTTTTTATTGCCATCAGGTGTTACATGGCAAAGCTTACACCTACAAAAGAACTTCCATGTTAACAGCAGGGATACTATGTTATGCTACCTTTCTAGAAGTGAGTAATTAATGACTAAGATAAAAATATCCCATTGTAGAATAAATGTTATGTGACCAATTAATCAAATGTACCATCTAATGTGCTTTTGTTCAGCATTCTGGTCCTGTTTCTTTCTTTTCTTTAAGACTTATGCTACACATGAAAACTTTAAAAAGTATACCACTTCTTAAAATTATTTTTAGTGATAGCTCAGTGTGTGACATCCCATAAAGAATATGAACTCTGGTCTCTCTCACACACACACACACACACACACACACACACACACACACACCCTTAGAAGATTACTGAACGTTAAAAGAGGACTGATTCTACCACTGAGTGACTGATTCTACCACTGATTCTACCATGAGTGACTGGCGCCTCCTGAATCGAGGGGGGGGACCCGCAGAAGCTGCTGATGTTGGCGGCCCTGTCAAGAGGGGCACCAGCCCTACCAA